TTTTTTTTTTTTTCTTCCTTCGTTTTTTTCTTTCTCGCTTCCTTCCTTTCTTCCTTTTTTCCTTTTTTTCTTTCTTTTTTTTTTCGTTTTTTTTTTCGAAAAAAAAAGTTCGAGTTGGGGGGGGGGGGGGGGAGGGGGGGGGTGCGCGATCTGCGCGCCGCCACGTGGCGCAAGTCCGCTCCGAGAGACTTCGCTGTGATGTGCGGTGAAAGTGAGCGACAAACACCCATCCATAGTTACCTTTCCTTTATACTGGTATGCTACTTATTTTGACCCAGCAGGGACGCTGGGTGGGGTTTGGTACCATGTCGGAGGACGCGGTGTCCCGACCCTCCTTAGTGTGCCAAATTCCTGCTCAACACCAGTCCCTTGTCTAGAATGTTTGCGGCTTGTTGGACTGTTGGCGAACCTTCGCTGCCCTACTGGCACACCTGAGTTGTGCCCTGACGTGAACCGACCTTGTTGGTGCTTGGCCCTGCAAAAAGGAAGGGGGTGCGCCATTGAACTTCCCTTTGGTCCACGCAGGCTCGACGCCCTGCTGTACAGGAAAGCACTATCGGCCTGTGGCCGTGGTAACCGCCGGGTTCGCCCAGGGACGCGGAAGTAAATAGACCGGCGCTGTCTTTTCTACTGTGTGCCGATCGCTTCCCGGTCAGGTTATGGGTTAGGTACGTAGAATCGCTGTTAGTTGAACAAAAAAATGGCAAAAGAAAAAGAAAGCAAAAGAGAAAGCAGGATAAGAAGAGGAAAGGGAAGCTAGGCGTCCGTCCCGCGCGCAGATTTGGACCTTCGCTTTAATCTGGGACGATCTAGTGATCTCTGAGCGCAACGACGTTGTGATTCCCTTCCTTCCTTATTCTATTATTATTAATTTTATTATTATTATTATTAATTTTGTTGTCAACCTTCTTATATAAGATTTTCCTTCTGTCACTTCGCGGGAAGACCCACGGTTCGAATTTCGAACGCGGCTGTGGTTTGTGGCCCAGACTGGTCTGACCTTTCATTTTTGTACCGATGGTTGGGAGGCTCGATCGGGCGCTGCGCGATAGGACCTCAAAAGAGGGGTGACCCGCGGCCACATCGGTAGGAAGCTTATCACCTCCGAGGAGGGTCATAAGCCTCTTTCTTACCATTGGACATGGGCACCCGATGGGAACAGGTCGACAACACGGTTTGAAGGGAGGAGCGTGCACGTCGGAATCCCGTTATGGGACCGCCATTCCAAGCCTGTAGTCACATCATGAGGACTAGTGGTTAGTAGCACGGTCGACTCGTGCTCCAACTGTTTAGTTTCGACCTTCCATATTTTATTTATTTATTTATTTATTTATTTATTTATTTTGTTTTATTCTAATTCAACACATGATTCGTGAAAACCATACAAAACCACAAAACCCAACATTTTGTATAGAGTGGATAATTAGAACTCTTACTTTTATTTCTAGGTTAAAAAAAAAATACATTTTCGACAACTTTTCAAAATACAAAGCAAAAAATCAGGCAAACAGTCGAGCGATCCTTAAAATGTGGAGGAAACCTCTTGCTTGCAAAGATCCTGTTCTAGGACTATAAGTCATTCTCAATAGATTGGCAAAAAAACAGAGCTCTAAAAGAACAAACTCGAAAGGTGTAAAAAACAGTTTTAGTGAATTCTGGCATATACGGCTATAGGTCGTTTCCAACATTTATAGACTATATAGAGCAATTTTGAAGTTAACAATAAAATCCTTGCCAAAAAGTATATGTTATGTAAAATAATAGCACAAACAACTTTTGTCTCGGAGACATCTTCAAATTCTTAGTCAAACGCAAGTTAAAAATTAAAAAAAAAGAAAAAAAAAAGATAAAAAAACCTAGGCTGTTGGATCGGACGTCCAGGACCCCCCTGACCGTCCGGGATATCCGACCTAGCGCAAAAAAAAACAAACAAACAAGTTCTCAGAAAAATCTGAAAACAATATATGTTATGTAAAATAACATACAAGCAACTTTTGCCTTGGAGTCATGTTCAAATTCGCAGTCAATCATAAGTTCAAAATCAAAGACCGAGAAAAAAATAATTTTTTTTTTTTACAAAAAAAAAAAATTGTTTTTCCGGACAACGGGGGTACCGAACGTATGGGGAGACGTCCGGGGGAGACGACCGGCCCCCGAACCATTGGTAACCTAGTAAAAAACGTTAAAAAAGAGCAAGTTTGCCCACAGACTATACACATGATCTTTTGAGATAATTAAAAAAATGCTAGGATGTTTTTTTTGCCCGGCCGGGCATCCGGGCAAGTTGCCTGGGGGGGTGTTGCCCGGGGTACCCCGGGCGTGTCAGAAAATAGGCCTTTTTTTTTTTTTTTTTTTTTTTTTTGCTGGGGTCTTCTGCGCATGCAGAGAGGACCCCAAATCCAGGCTCAAATACTGTTCTTTTTAAAGTTGCCTAAGAGGCCCGGCGGGGCATCCGACGAACTCGCAGGCTTGGGTCTCCTTAACTTTTATGTTTGGCCGTTTTGAGGCCCTCTAAGTCAGATTTTGTCGTCTTTCTGTATCTCGCATCTTGCCTGACCCTGGTTTGTCTGCTATGAGCCTCCTCAACCTCCAAGTGCGTTGGACCTTCTGCCCCGTCAGAACCTTTTGTTTCAAAGTCTGTGTCGTTGTACCTTTCCCATGGTTTGCTGCTTTGGCCGACGGGCTTGCCTTTTGGTCTTCTGGGACTGTGAATGGACTGGGACTGTTGACCTTTGACTTATTGCGAAACAGACATGACCCTGTCTCAACCTTATTATGGACTGTTCGTTTAGGACCTGACTGTGACTTTTGCAATACGACTTTTCAATTCAGTCTGGACCTTACTGTGACTTTTGCAAAATGACTTTTCATTTCAGTCTGGATGCGACATTTGCCTCAGGAAACTTCTCTTTTGGAATGCTGCCTCGTGACCTTATGTTCTAGCCGACTGGGCCCCTCTATGTTGGGGTCACATTTGGGGGTCTGAATCGTCAAGCTGAATTCTCTCCGTTTCTTAGCCACATGATCAGGATTGTCCAACTTGATAGCGTTGATGCTCCCAAAGGATTACCTGAACAAGTGGCTAACAAAGGGCGACAGCCTTGAGATATCATCTTTGAACTGGCTGGCCCCAGGTGATTCATAATTATTTGACTCTGTTCATCTGATTGCAACTAGATTCGAACTTGGGTCTGTATTTCAACAGTCCGTGGGTGTACCAACTGAGATAGGCTCGTCCATTGAACTGGTGGTTTAAGTGATGTAATGTAAATGCCTGTGTTACTTGTGATAGAATGTTCTCAATGTTTGTGTGTTTTAGCGACAAGTGAGAAAAATGCACACTATCACACTGTCTGCTTATAGAAGCAGCACCTCTCTGAGACGAATGAATCAGAAAATAGGCGAAGGACGTTCGCAGCATCACCGACCGTTCTCAGCTTATAAGAAGTGGCATGATAACAAGGGAAGAAGGGTTAGGGGTTTTAGCAGTCTTGACGACAGCCGGAACTACCTTCTTCCCCTGAATACAACGATACTTGCTGGGGCATTTTTCAGTCTAAATACAACTATAATGACCATGCGTTGTATTCAGGGGAAGAAGGTGGAGGGGTTTGGGGGTTTGACTACTATTGGGGACATCAGGAACTATACGAATGAATGATTGGGATGTGGGATGATGACAAGATAGACAAAGAACAGAATCCTCAACGCAACACTTGCCTCCATCACCCGCAGCCTCCATCCCATGGCATACCGTGTCTTCATGCAGCTCCTCAACCTTGACCAATCTGTTTCCTCCTCCCTCCCTCCCCCTCTATTCCTCCTCATCATCCCATTCAATGAAATAGTTCCTACTATTCCTCCGCTCCATCTCCTCCTCCTCCTCCTCCTCCTCCTCTCCTCCTGCTCCTCCTCATTGGATGCTTTTCTCTGTTTCTTTGTCTCCTCTTGCCGTTCTCAGTCTAAACTTTGGGTCTCCTCCTTCCTATCCTGTATGGGTCATTTTCTTTCTCCACCCTCCGTCCTCTCTACCTCACCGTCCTCTTCCTTTTCGTCATTCCTGTTTCGAGACGCGCTTGGTCACAGTTATCATGGTAGAGACTGCCAAACAAGCACACACTGTAAACAGTTAAAACTGATGCACAGTCATGCTGCATAGAGTGAGACATGTTGCACCCAAAGACACTGTCACACAGACACATACAACATAGATCAGAACAAGGAGTAGGGCTGCAAATTGGGTCCCTTACGACTGCTGCAGGGATGGAGCCGGTGCCCAATGGACTAACTATCACACTCACTTAAAGACTAACTTGCATGAATCACCAGGCATAAGACTGCAGAAGGACACGCATTGCCCAATGCACTCACAATTGTAGACACAACAGACATTCGCACACCGACACACACTAACTCACACACACACACACACACACACACGGTGAACTCAATTAGATGTCTGAAGTGTGGTAACGTCGTAGCCTGACTAGCTATTATGCACAACAGTGAAGACTAAGCCCACTCGCCCTCGGACTGATTGTGACCGTCGTTGGACTCCTCGTTGCTACTGCCCTCGTCCGTCGTGTTGTCATCCTCAACGACCTTCGTGATTTTCTTCAACTGACGGCCGGTCCTTCGTGGGGGGGGGCGAACGACGATAGGGGGGCACGCTGCTGTTGGGGGGGAGTTCCTCTATTTTCGTGGCCTTCCGCGTCCCCTCTTCACGAGAGCTGGTATAGCGGGCTCCACGAGCGCCTTCCTCTTCCTTCCCACCGTGCTTCTCTCAACGTTGTCATGCTGCAGTTTTTGAAGCAGCGGTGGAAACTCCTGAACAGGCAGCACAACAACGAGCGAAGCAGATTTGGGTGCACGCTGGCGCCTCTTGTCCACGAGCGAAACTTCTTCGTCCTCTTCGTGCTCATCTTCCAATTGTTGATCTTCCTCTTCTTGCTGCCACTTCTGCACTTCTTGGTGTTCGTCTTCCTGTCCGCTTGCTGCATCTGTGGCTGACTCTCCCCCGAGTTGATCTTGTTTCTTTTCACAACCCTATTCTCCCCTTTGCCCGATGTTACGTGGCAAGGCTGCTCGTCTGGCAGCCTCCTGCTCCATGCGCTGCATCACAATGGCACGGTCTGTTTGCGCTAGGGCCTGTGCCGCTCTTCTCTCAGCCTCATCATCATCCAGTCCAACACGCAGGCTGCTGTCGAAGTAACCAAACTCATGCAAGTTCGGGAGATTGTTGTCAATCTCGTTGTTGTCCTTAGACTTGTCGCTATCGTTGTATGAGCGCAGGCCGAAATCAATCTTTTCCTCTTCCTCTTCCCCCGCTTCCTCTTGCTCCATGTTCTCTTCCTCCCCGTTACGATCATGACCTTCTTCCTCACCTACCGTGGGTGCTTTCCCGTTCTTCACCACCTCATCCCTCTTCTTCACACCCTTCCCCCTCCAAACCAAGTCCTCGCCGTCGTCACTATCATCAGAGCAGCTAGACTCATCCAACCTCCCTACCTTTGGAACCCCATCAATTGGTGTCTTGCTCAAACGATCACACGCAACCAGCTCACCTTCTGCAATCGGTGCTCCGGGAGGAAGAATGGCAAGGTCCTCAAGTGGCGGCGCTTGTCCGTCGTCGAAGAAGCTCGCCCACAAGTCAATGAAGCCCCCTTTGTTCTTCTTCTTCTTCACATTCGTGAGCTGCATGTTCCAATGTATATAAACAAGCTTGTTGATAGTTTCAGGGCACAACTGGTTCCTCCTCTTCTCGTGCACAAGATCGAGGGTGGACCAGTTCCGCTCGCAAGGGGTGACCGTGCTCCACATTGCTGTCACTCGTGTTGCAATCTTCTGCAGCTCCTCGTGACTCTTCCCATGACAGTTCCACCAATCTGATGCAGTGTGCTGTCAAATTTGGCGAAGTCCGTCCATAAACTGTCTTGATCCTTCATCGGCTTGGAGGACTCTTCCACCGGCTCTTTGTGGAACACCTTCAAACTTCCCCACAACTTGAGATGCTCCTTGCATCCCCAAGTGCCCCCCTCGCTGCATTGTGACAATACGAACTTCATGGCATTTTGCACAAGGAGGCTCTTGGGGTCGTGCAAATAACGAGGGTCCCCCCTCGAGGGATTGAGAAGGAAGTTGGTTGCATGCACCGGCTGTCGCATCATCCTGCATCGGTCCTTCACTTTCTCCGCAATGAAGTTTCATTGTTCCGCAGTCAAGCCCTGCCCTGCGACTTGCCCGAGGCTTCCTCGGACTGGTGAACACTAGCACCGGAGGAAGGGGGGTTAGAGCCACTCCACCGAGGAGTAGGCTAATAAGGTGCAACATGCATGTTATACCTCCAGGCCTGGCCATGCCATGCGCCCAGCCACTCTCAAGTCCGATTCTCTCAAGGGAAAGAGCATGCACAAGTCCAAGTTTCTTCTCTTCGGTTATGTATATGATCATGCGTCGGGCGCCCCCTCCGGAATCGTAAGGGTCAATTTAACCCTATACCCGGCACCTCCACCATTTTCCGTAGGGCCGTACCCTGATAGACTTTCGAGCCCCTTGCGGGTCCCTTTTGGCTCGACCCGCCCACGCTCACACTCAGGGCGCGGGTCATTCGTCCTAGGGGCACCCCCACCTAGTGCTTTGAGATGGATGGGGATGAACCATTTGCGAGAGGGCTTTGCATTGGGGGATGTAGCTCCGCTCTCGTGCTAGATGGTAACTTTAAGGTCACTCGCGGCGTTTTCTTGATTCATTTAGGTGTGGCCATATAATTGCTCCTTCCAATACACAAGCAGTCCAGGGGGTTCCTTGAGAAGTTTTATTCTTTTGTGCGTAGGCTAAACGTCGTCCTTGGACCACACACCTCTTCACTGAGCACAACAATCCTCACGACATCATTGGGGTGTGGCGACGCCATCCATCCCCTAGCCCCTATCCTTTTTTTTTTGCTTGACACACGCATTATATTCGCATATCCGTCGTTAGCCCTTAGTCTTTCCGGGCTCCCACATTGCATGCAAAGAGTCAAGACACACGTTCATCATGCCGCGTCACACCCTCTTTTCCTTGACCCCTTCTCCAACCATCCTACACCAAGGCCCACCCGCATCGAGGTTTATGCTAAGCCCGTGACCTTCGCCGTCGGATCCTCATGCTCCCCTTTTGCTTGCGAATCCCGGACCCACTCCCGCTCAAGCCATCTGAGCTCCTCACCTGCACAGTCCCACATAAGGCAAAGACCGATACAATCCCCCATTGGGGTCAACACATTGCCCTTCCCGCAAGCCCAAGTTCCTTTCCCTCCCAAGGTTCCTTCAATCTTTCCCTTCCCTTCACAATCAAGCCATGCATTCTCCTTAGTCATGCAGTCGGGGGAATGGTTGAGTCAACTGACCTTGTGCCAAACTTTCACTTTCACACTTTCTCAAGTCCTTGTCTTTCCAATTCTCAAGGGCTTCCCTTTCTCCTTCTTGGTGGCGCAAGGGACCGACTATCCTCTCCTTGCCCTCTTTCTCCACCAAGTGAGGACCGCTTCTTTCACCGTTCGTTCCCTGACAATGTAACAAAGTGAGGGGAAGGGTTAGTCATGTGCCAGGAAGGAAGAGGGGGAGAGGGTAAGGTGAAGGTCAAGACTCTAGGGAAAGAGAATGAGAGAGAGAGAGAGAGAAAGTGAGGAGGAGAGAGAGAGAGAGAGAGAGAGAGAGAGAGAGAGAGAGAGAGAGAGAGAGAGAGAGAGAGAGAGAGAGAGAGAGAGAGAGAGAGAAAGAGAAGAAATAAGAGACTCCTAATCCCTAATCAACCTTGCTCCTTAGCGCGTCCTACCGCCCTACCTAATGCTCCTTGCGCCCTTTGGCGCCTCTTTTGCTTACAACCTTTGCGTGGCGGAAGAGGTCGGAGGAGGAAAGAGGTGCAAAGTGGTTTGGTCATGGAGGATGGGCGAAGGAGCTGGTGGAGGAAGAAGGTGGAAGGTGGTTGGCTATGGCAGATGGGTGAAGGAGACGGTGGAGGGTGAAGATGCAAGGTGGTTGGCTATGGTGAATGGATGAAGGGGATGGTGGAGGATGAAGGTGGAGGGTGGTTGGCTATGGTGGATGGGTGAAGGAGACGGTGGAGGAAGAAGGTGGAAGGTGGTTGACCATAGAGGATGGGAGAAAGGAGGTGATGGAGGAAGAAGGTGGAAGGTGGTTGGCTATGACGGATGGGTGAGGGAGACGGTGGAGGGTGAAGGTGGAGGGTAAAGGTGGAGGGCGGTTGGCTATGGTGGATGGGTGAAGGAGATGGTGGAGGAAGAAGGTGGAAGGTGGTTGGATATGGCGGATGGGTGAGGGAGACGGTGCAGGAAGAAGGTGGAAGGCGGTCGGCTATGGTGGATGGGTGAAGGAGGTGGTGGAGGAAGAAGGTGGAAGGTGGTCGGCTATGGTGGATGGGTGAAGGAGGTGGTGGAGGAAGAAGGTGGAAGGTGGCTGGCTATGGTGGATGGGTGAAGGAGGTGGTGGAGGAAGAAGGTGGAAGGTGGCTGGCTATGGTGGATGGGTGGATGGGATGATGGAGGAGGAAGGAGGAAGGTGGTTGGCTATGGCGGATGGGTGAAGGAGACGGTGGAGGAAGAAGATGGAAGGTGGTCGTCTATGCCTTTGATTCTTGCTTATGCTGATGATTTGATGATGTTTTCTGCTTATTCAGTCCTACTTCACCCCCCATGTGAACCGCCACATCCCCCCCCTGTGCTCTAATTGAAACACCGCATGATTTCACCCCCCCCCCATGTTTTATTCGAACGTGGTTATTGAGAAGTAGGAAGAAGGCTGTTTTTCAACTGTACAGACTAATGTTGCTGCTGCTGTTTCTGATTGTTGTAGGTCCTTAGCTGCTGATAAGGTCCGGCCAAGCCAGACATCTGCTGCTGCAAGAGAAAACAAGTGGCCAGCCGCCCGGCGCAAAACCACCCCGAGAACCGCAAGAAGTGGGCCGAAATGACCCAGAAACACCCCTGTGACAAACCTGTCAAACATGGGGTATGAGGCCTGAAACTTCTCAGACCTCATATCCTAGGCATAAACAGATGGCCTACAGACCCAGCAGACCATCGGAGTCCGTTTTTCCAAAAAATCAGAAGACGGACTTCCCCGAACTGTTCGCCTTGAGGCCAGACGACGCCCGAAACAGGCAAGTACAACCAAACGACGTCGGAATCACTTCAAATTTTGCAGAGGCCTTCCCTGAGTTACAGTGAAAGAGCCCTCCGAATTTTGAGTGATTCTGAGGTTGTTTGGAGCAGGAAACACATACCTGTGTTTTCCAGCACTCCACATTTAGGCAAAAACGGCAAAAGTGTCGGAAAAACAGCAAGTCTGCAAATTCTGCGTTTTCTGCAAAACTGTGTGTTTCCGCAAATCTGTGGTTTTCTACAGGACTGTGTTTTCTTCAAATCTGTGTCTTTCTGCATAACTACTGTAGGGTTAAGTGCTAGGATTTGTGCCCGGTGGCCGGAGGGGTGTAGACGGGCGGACCGGGACGCTTGAAGTAGCAAGGACGACGCTTCCCATCTTCCGTCTTCTTCCTCCACCACCTCCATCACCCATCCACCATAGCCAACCACCTTCCTCCTTCACCCATCCACCATAGCCAACCACCTTCCACCTTCTTCCTCCGCCATCTCCTCCACCTATCCACCATAGCCAACCACCTTGCACCTTCTTCCTCCACCACCTTCCTTCATCCATCCACCATAGCCAACCACCTTCCACCTTCTTCCTCTACCATCTCATCCACCCATCCACCATAGCCAACCACGTTCCACCTTCTTCCTCCACCACCTCCTTCACCCATCCGCCATAGCCAACCACCTTCCACCTTCTTCCTCCACCACCTCCTTCACCCATCCGCCATAGCCAACCACCTTCCACCTTCCTCCTCCACCACCTCCTTCACCCATCCACCATAGCCGGCCACCTTCCATGTTCTTCCTCCACCGTCTCCTTCACCCATCCGCCATAGCCAACCACCTTCCTCCTTCTTCCTCCATCATCTCATCCACCCATCCACCATAGTCGGTCACCTTTCACCTTCTTCCTCCACCACCTTCTTCACCCATCCACCCTAGTCGACCACCTTCCGCCTTCTTCCTCCACCACCTCCATCACCCGTCCACCATAGCCGACCACCTTCCACCTTCTTCGTCCACCACCTCCTTCACTCGTCCACCATATCCGGCCACCTTGCACTCTCTTCCTCCACCATCTCCTTCACCCATCCACCATAGCCAACCACCTTCCTCCTTCACCCATCCACCACAGCAAACCACCTTCCACCTTCTTCCTCCGCCATCTCCTCCACCCATCCATCATACCCAACCACCTTGCACCTTCTTCCTCCACCACCTTCCTTCACCCATCCTCCCTAACCAACCACCTTCCACCTTCTTCCTCTACCATCTCATCCACCCATCCACCATAGCCAACTACGGTCTACACCCAAGTGGAAAAATGAAGAGAAAGTGGGAGTTGGGTGAGTAGAGCTCACCCAAATGCATGAATTATCGAGGGGGAAAGTGACGATTTACATGGGAGTGAAGAACAAGACTAATCAAGCACTAAACATCATCAAAACATCAAGGTGATCAAAAATCAAAGTTGCGATTTATGTCCAAGTGGAAAAATGAAGGGAAAGTGAGAGTTGGGTGAGTAGAACTCACCCAAATGCATGAATTATCAAGGGGGAAAGTGACGATTTAAATGGGAGTGAAAAACAAGACTAATCTAGCACTAATCACCCTCAAAACACCAACATGAGCAAAAATCAAAGTTGTGGTTTGCATCCAAGTGAAAAAATGGAGAGAAAGTGAGAGTTGGGTGAGTAGAACTCACCAAAATGCATGAATTATCAAGGGGGAAAGTGACGATTTAAATGGGAGTGAAAAACAAGACTAATCTAGCACTAATCATTCTCAAAACACCAACATGAGCAAAA